AGGGCTGTGGTTAGTGCAATATATTTATATTCATATTTTTTTAATATTTGTTTAATACTAACATTTATATTACTTATCAACTATGTTTTAGAGTGCTTTTGTGGCAAAATTGATCTCTGTCTTGGCCACTTGCCCTCCAATTGCTCACAATAATCTACCGATACTCAGTACTTTTGTTCATAGCTGATTCCCTACTTTGATCCACCTCTCTGGCTCTTGCTGCTTCTCCAGAACCAAACCCTGCTCACAGTGGCTGCACCACCTTCTCCTCCTCTCCCTCCAGCCCTGCTTGCTTTCTTCACTAAAAACCTTCTGCAGCACCACAAAGCGACTGCTCCTCCAGGTGTCTCAGTCTGGACAGAGCCATACTTGGCATCCTTCAGGGTTTTGCTATTAAAACCAGAGCGAGACGGACAGACAGACAGACTGAATCATTCAGTTCCTGTAAGCTAAGATACCTAAATGGAGCTGCGCAAACTGGGGCTCCCCCCCCGGAAGCTGGTGCCTCCATTAGGGCCTCAGCCCTGTCCTGCAGAGCACCACAGGCGATACCTCACCCTGGGGGCTGGTTCTTGCTGCCTACAGAGAGCACAGGGCTGTGCGCCCCAACTTTCCCTTCCTAGGTCAGTTCAAACATTGCTCAATGTCGCGGTTTAAGCCCAGTGGGCAATGGAGCACCACGATGCCCACCAAAAAGGAGCTAGACAAAATAAGGACTGGGAGGGCTTTCCACTTTGCTCACAGTCCACCCCCCAGCCCCAGTAATTTGGAAGCGAGGTGCAGAACCACTATCATGCTGGCGGACAGACCTTGGCAAGTCCCTGCCAAGCAACCCCTAAAAGCCTGAGGAACCTGTTGGTGTTGCAAACGTCTGCCGCTGTGCCCATATGTCTGCTGATTTCCATACTAAAGACATTTACTGTATATGTTTGCCACCAGGGAAAACTCCTGTCTACGACTCAGCTATATTACTGGAAGAGGAGCAGCAGTATTTGTGCTGTTGTGAATATTGCATTTCCAGGACCTGCTGTACGGCTTTTTAAATCCTCCTTCCAACTCCCCACGCCCCCCCTCCCCGGGCCAATTAGTGAAAATGCCTGGTGGGGGCGATGGCCCCCTCCTCCGTGCGGCAATGCCACACCGACAGGCTCGCACGAGATGGTGCGAACCATCCCTTCCATCCCTTCTTGGCACCGGGAAGCATGGTTTGCAAGCCAATGACAGAGGGATGAAATGCAAATATAGCATTTCTTGTAAAGTAAATTAAGCTAACAACGAGGTAACAAACCGCTGTTAATATTAGATTAACTTGTCTGGCAAGATAGGGAATTGGGTGAGCTGGATTGTTGATAGCAGAGTGCTCAACAGCGCTAATGCTGCTCAGGGAAGTATAACATCCTTCTGAAAGAAAGAGGCACGCACAGAAAAAAAAACCTTAAGACTGGAGGAAGAGCCAGAATCTGTGCAGCAATTACACCAGCATTAAAGATGAATAGAGAAGAAGCTTGAGATTTCGATTGCCTTTAAATACTGGCTTGTTTTTAATCTCAAAATCAGACTGCTCTGTGATCAGCCATTAGCCCCGACTACAAAAAAAAAAACCCCAAAAAACAGAGAGAAAAGATCCTATATTTTAACATTTGAATTATGAACTTAAAATGCCGCTTTGATCTAAGATAAGGAGGCAAATGGCAGATAATTCAGAAGTTAAAGCCAGTTGCGTGCGGTTGGCAGCGGCTGGGCTGACTTTGGGAACAATGGAGACTTGGGCAGAGGGGTCACCGGCAGCTGTGTCCTCAATGCGGGGACTGAGGCACAAGCTTAAATGTCACACTATATGCCAGTGGTCACTAAACTGATTAAGCAGTGGTTATCTTTAGCAGTAAAAAGGCTATCTGCTAATACTATATGATTAGAGTCTAAAATGCCATTTACTCTGCTCTGATTCCTTGAATGAATATTTATGCCAAGTGATGGCTATAACACCATCAAAAGGTTTCTGTGCTCTGCTCCATAGAGTGGAAGTGATTATTCAACAGCAGGTCTGCACCCCAGCACTTGTTTCTATTAAGCAAATTTGCAGTGTTCAGACAAAAATTCATGATTGCATTGTCCTCCTGGGACTTTTGTTTTTAAAGAAATCCCACTTCCAATGCTCTCCAGGGCATGAGCTGTGGCAGGGCAGCCTTGTCTGCTGTGCAGACACAGAAAAGAGGGATACAGATGCTGCACAATTGGTTTTGGGGGTTGTTTGTTTGGGGGTTTTTGTTTGTTTTAATATTAGACTACTTAACATTTGCTGCACCCCATTCAACAGCAAGAAGCTATAGCCTGTCCCAGACTTTCTTCTCACCTACTCAGCCACCAGCCAGGGCTTTTGCATCATGAAATTCCTCAAAAAGCATCAAGAATTGGAACTACAGCCACGGTTACAAATCCAGGAGGCTGCCCATCAGAAATGAAGCCCCTGCACAGCAAGGGCAAGTGCTAGGAGGCAATGAGACACCATCGCATGGAAGTCATAGACCAGGATGTAACTGCTCCCTCCTCGCTTTCCCTGGACAGAAGGGTGTTTTGGCAAGGTGCTGCCACAGCAGTAGTGAGGGCTTCAGACTGGCCCACGTCAGGGATCACTGAGCAAACTGAAGAGTTGTTGGCATCCAAGCAGCATGCTGCTGGACCTTGTGTTTAGTGTGCACAACTGGACGGGAAGTTATTCCTTCGTGGTGTGGGCTGGTACCAGCTGAGCCTCCCCCCATGCTCCAGCTGGGACATGCAGGGCTCAGTTCCCACCTTGCTCTGGAGGCAGGGGTGCTCTTCATGGGGGTTCAGTCTCACATAAAACACCACCCTGATGTTTACCTCCCCAGGAGGAAAGACCCACGTTGTTCTGGTGACATGCTCTGCGACCACTGGACCTCTGCATGCTCACTGCTCTCAGATGACATTGCTAACCGTGTTTCACCCTTGGCTCCAGGCTTCCTCTGCACCACCTTGCTGTGCTGCCAGTACTGTATAGATGGCAGTCACCAAGACTAGACCTTACCATAGCTGTTTCAACTTACTGGTTATTTTGGCCTCTCTACCAGTGCATCACCCTTTCTTTTTTCTCCAAGTTCCTGGGCTATCTTCTTCTGGGTCTGCCGACTCAGCCTGTTGCATTGCCACATATCCAAAAAACTCCCACCAAACCACCGCTATCCCCAGATGCATCCAAACAGGCCCAGCTCAGATACACCTCCCCTGCAGAGCCAGCATGAGGATTCACGTACGCAGCAAGACACGGCTGACACCAACAAAGTACCATTTTCATTCATCCAACAGTAGAGTGGGATTTCCCGCACTAGTGACCCTCTCCTCCAGCATGCTCCTGCCTCTGTGGTGACATTTCTGTGGCTTTCCCAGTGAGGTATGAGAGATCTGGCAGCTGCAGAGCCATTAGCTGGCATTGGCCAAGCGGCTCTGAAAAGTTACACTTTCCTCCTCTTCCTCTCTTTCTGAAGTAAGGAGCCCACCCAAGTCAAGAAAAAAATACGCTTTGTAGATGGTGTGAGTACCATTCCCTGAAGGACTTCACTTTTAAACTAGTAGCAAAGCTCTCCTTAAGAATCTGAACTAAATCTTAATAACTTCCCCCAGCTTGTTTGGTGAAGGATTTTGGTTTTGTTTTGGTTCTACTACCATCCTCACCATGGGACAATATCCTGGCACTGCCATTGCGTGTAGAATCACCACAAACCCCATGGACAGGAGGGTAGCCATCACTCTGGAGCATAGGCAGAGGCCGTGGCCATCCAGCAGCCCATTTGAAAGTAAGGAATCAAAATGGTTGGGCAACAAGCTGCTCCTTCAGTAACCCCGGTGTGGCCACCAGCAATAGCCTCTACAAAAAGAGCATCAACTCTACAGTTTCTCAAAAGAAACCCCCCCCGACCCCATAAGGCACTAAAGTGGAATAGCAATTAAAACGCTCCCTATCCACCAATGGCGATAGGTAGCTTTTTAATTGCTATTCCATTTTATGAGAAATTTGGTGTTTGCAATTCAGAGAACACACACGCCACCCAGGACCAGTAACTGACTAAGTCACATTGTAAGTACTCAGTGTCTATTTATTAGAGGAACGGGGGGTAAATCTAAGAAAAAGCAAGTAGACAAAATAAATAGAATTGCAGCCATCCTTTACAGCTACTGGTGCACTGTATTAAAGTGACACTCACCATACAAAGAAATGTGTTTGGTACAGTCCAGTGGGTTGCACATGAATTGCATAACCTTGAAAATCATTGCACAAAGCATCGCAGCAGGAACGGAGTTCAGAGCTTTTCTATGAGAGATTGCTTCAAAATCGATCACTTTTGTTACGTGGGAGGTCAAAGCACATGGCACAGAGCAAGCCAAAAGGGCTGTGGAAAGGGACACTGAGTCAGTGCCTGGTCGCATTCAAATCCTGCAGCAGCTCTCGCAGCAGCCCAGACCTGGACAAGCGATGTCCCACAGGAAATCCCCACTGCCTTTCAAAGCCTTGAAATTAATATTCTGATCAATGCCTGGGCACCTGTTGGCAGGGCTCAAGGGAGCCTGCTCCTTGCAGCCTAGACTGGAGACACCATCTCAGCCAGCCAACAAGCACTCCTGGCCATGGAAATGCTCTGTTTGAAAAGTGAGGCACCTCTCAGCCAGCCACGCAGCTCGGCCCAGCAGCCTTGGGGGGACCCGGCCAGTGACACCGAGGGTCCCCACCACCACCACCACCCACGGCTCAGCAGCCTTCCGCTCCACAATGCAACAGGTTCTTGGAGACAAGTCTCTGCATGGCTTAAGTAGAGAGGTCTAACTCTGCAGCAGCATTTCTTCCCCCAGTTTGTGTGCGAACTCCTGCCTCTGCCTTTATTCATGCAGTTTCCAGGGATCTGTGCACATATTTCTAATACTCTGCTCAACATCAAGCACAGGAAATACACTTTCACCGCATGAGGAACAAACCACAGCTAAGATGACCAGGAAACATTCATAATTTTTAATTCACACCAGTAATAAAATTGCATTACATTTTTCATAAAATAAATGTTCCAGTTTATATACAGAAAACAGACTGTACAGAGCCCTCCCCCAGACCCCAAAAACTCACAAACATACAGGCAATGCAGTGCTCAGCTAAGCAGGCACAACTGTACATCTAAAATTGTAACTGCTTTGTGTTGGGGGGAAAAGTACTACAATGTATATAGTCCTCTCTGGACCAAGAATTAAAAAAATATTGCAGGCAAGCTGACAGGCGCCCTAGCGCCCATCCACAGTGCTTCAGCGAAGCAGGGTTTGTTATTGAACCTGGGACTCAAAGCTCCCATTCAGCTGCCCTTCCTCATAGTCCATCTGACACAAGATCATGTTGTTCTTCAGGAAAAATTTGTCTCCCACGCAGAATCTGGAAGATAAAAAGAATGAATGGGTGTAAGTATGAACAGAGGTTAGAACAGGGGGAACTTGAGGCAGTTTGGCTCTGAAGGCAACTCTGGGAACCAGAGTTCGGTTTCCAGCTCTGCTGATGGTGTGGGACCCTGGGAAAGCCTTCGTGCTTCCCTCCTCACACCCCTTCCCCGCACATGTCCTGGGGTTTTGCCGTCCCTTTTCCTGGCACAGCAGTGCTTGGCTGCCAGGCCATGGTTGTACGGAGCAGCTCGGGCAGCAGGGCCCAGTCTCTGCCAGGACCCACACCAGCAGCAGGAGGCGGCTGGGAGCAGCAGAGGGATTTGTCCCTGCAGACAAGAGGTATCAGCTCTACAAGTGGGAAATCACATGGGCGATATTGCACAGAGACTATTTGAAGTTTTTGCTGGTATCCACATTTCCACGGTTCCCTTGGGTGAGGCAGTATTTACACTAATTTGCAGGCAAGGCCTGGCTATTAAGTCCTTCCTCACCCCCTTGTGTACAGTGTGGAACAATAAATAGAAATTTGCTGGTGGCTGGACTCCTAACCTTTATCTTCATTGAGCGAAGGGCACTGCTCTCTATATACCATGTAAATTGTTCTGTTTGTCTTGAAGTTGACAGAGAGGCTTGTGATATTTAACAATTTTATTTGACCATTAAGGTCAAAAAGGTTCCACATATAAGATCTGAGAGGTGTAAATTGACAGCCAGTAGCTTTTTCTGCCCTGCCTGCTTGCTCAAGAATCAGAAGCTAATCTTTACTTCTTAAGATAACAAATAATGCTATTTGCACCCAATACAGGGGCTGGTTTTTGTCCATCACACCAGCTGGCGATGACAGACCAGAGTGCATTGCTGCGCCTCCCTGCCCCAAGTGCTGAGTCCTAAATCAGCCCCAGGTCCCTGAAGCAGAGTCACCCCGGCCCCAGTGCTGTAGGTTCCATCCTCTGGCACTGCCAAATGTTTACTAGGCTTTGAAGGAGGATCAGAGGAGATGATCCAGTCCTTAGGAGACCTAGCAGACCTCAGTCGCCCATTTCCTCTGCTGCCAGGCAGAGCTTTGGCAGGGATGTTGGCTACTCCCTGTCTAAAATGCTTCCTAGATTTGTAACCCAGGCAGCCCCAGGCAGAACGTCTCCATAAGTCTGAGTATTTTGTTCTACAAGAACAGGAGGGGTCATTTTAGAGCTCCTCTATAGGTCCAGCACGTGCATAAGTTTTCTCCAACTGGACACCTGCAAATAAACTGATCAATTTGCCAAGCTGGTATAGAGAACTCGTGAGCATTGCTCCTCACTTTATATGATTTCACTGGAGAGCTTCCATCTTCTTCTCTCTGCAGCATGTGCTTAGTAGTTCTGAAATGAAACCTTTTTTGTATATTAAAAAGCTAAAAAATAATCTCAATTTAAATTAACAGCCTTTATGCTAAAAGCTGTACTGCACACACACTCCTGAAAATCACCTTCCCCACCAGGAAGTTTACTCATGATAAGTAACAGACCCAGCTTCATGCTTTCTGCTACTTATCCCTACCTTAAGTACAATGTAAATCTCCAGGAAGAGAAATGCAAAAATTACTCTTGCTGCCAGCATCACCCACAGCTGCCTCTTGCCAGACCTGGTTCGGGTCTAAAGGAGCCAAAGGAGGAGCTGTAGAACTCCTGTAGAAGGAGGAGCTGGGAGAAGTGTGTATGAGCACATGGGAACTAAGATGCACTGCAGGGGTACTCCGAGACTCTGAAGTTTTGGAAGAAGGGCTTGATTCACTGGAAAGGTGACCATTTCTTCCTACTTGCCAGTCCTGCAAACCCAGCAGTAAACTGGCATCTCTTCAGCTGATGCATCGCAGCTAGAAACAGGATTTAGCAAGGCAACTTCAGACACAGTTTAATGTGTCCCAACCCTCAGCTGTCTTCAGAATGAGATGCGGGACCATGCTGCCAGCCCCCAGGCCCGCAGCAGGTCTGCTGCAGAGCCCATCTTGGCTGATTGAGTCCCTGCCAGCAGCAGCAAGAACAGGCACTGAACTACCCTGCCATTGCTACAGAGTGATTTTCTTCTGAGCAAACACACGTTTCAGATAATGGCAACACAAGCAGCTGGATTTCCTGCAACCCTCGCAACACTGATAGGTCAGTTATAGCAGTGACCAACTTTTATTCAGTGTTGTGACATGCAATGTTGGCCCTGTAACAGTTTAAAGCATGGTAGGCTGAGCAGCCTTGTAGGACTTGCAGCAAACCTGATGCTTTGGAGGATGAAGCTAATTAAAATACTGCACACTTGGTAAAAATATCAGTGATTTTGCTCTGATGGCTTTAACACTCCACACAGACAGAGTATAGTGATAAAACGGCAAGTAAGCTGGAAGAGAACTACAGAAAGGTTTTCATAATCAAATCTTTTCATAGCTGAAGAATGAGGTAGGGGTTCAGGTAGGGTTTCCAATTCAGAACTAGGTTTGGCATCCACTTCTGCAGTTTTACTTTAGGGTTACTTAAACTTGTTCTCAGTTCGTCTGTTACAGGATCACTGCCATTCTGCCCTGTTAGGCCAACATTTCTAGAGGATAAGTGATAAAAGTTTGTAGCCTTCTGATCTCAGCCAAAAATAACAATCCACATATAGCTTAACGCTGTCTACTCAGCCCATCATTCAGAAAAACTCAGCTACTCCCAAACTTGGCAAATCCCTTGTGCATCAAAGCGCGACTCTGCCAGAACTGGGGGGATTACCTGCACTTTCCTGCCAGGCAGTGACAAGACATGGAGGTTATTTTAAGGGCAGAGTTAGGATTGCATTTTGCACTGGGTGCATTAACAGCATTAGCAATCACAGAGGGAAGAGAGGGAGAGAGATGCTTCGGAGCCTCTGTAATAAAGAGTGAAATCTAAAAGAAATTCCTGAAAATTAAAATTAGGTGGTACTGGGCTTTTCCATGAGAGAAAGTGAGGTAAAGTAGGGGTTTAATGACAAATACTCATCCTACAGACTCCAAGGCCAACCCAGCACTCCTGCCTGTGCAGCCCAGAGCCATGGCTTGCCTCTGCCAGAAGGGCCGTTTGAGATGCTCTAGCCCTTGTATTGGCGTGGAGCTTGGGAGCACCCCTCTCCCGCTTGGCCTTCATCGGCAGCCTGAAGAAAGCTGAGCCTGAGGGCTGAGCATGGCAGCACCCCACAACACTTCCAAGTCTGGAGATGAACCCCATGGACACCCAAGTAATTTTAGCAGTGAGATAAGAGACCATCTCGTGGAGGGAATGTAACTCTGCAAACAGTCACCCACTGCTGATTGGGAATTGTGGCTGTTGCGGAAGCACGTTCAAGAGTGGCACAAGACTGGGCAACTGAAAGATTTAGAGTGGCTTTGGGAAAGAGGCCCAAGGCCGGGAGCCACTAGATGTCACTACCGCCTCAGCACTGCCACAGCGCCTGTGGACCCGTCAATATTAATAGGAGAGTTTTCTACCTTCAACAAACACCGCCTCCGCCTTCAATAACGTGATCAAGTAAAGCCACCTGAGCTACAAACCGCTCGCCTGAGTCTCCTCTTTCTCGCACTGGCACCAACCAGCCGCCACTCCATTCATCCCCATGAACAAAACCACCGTCAGAGGGCATGGAAGGAGAATCAGGCCTCAGTTTGCACAGTCTCTTAAGTTTAGAGGGAAAGGTGGCAGGGGGTTGCATGCACACACTAAGTATGTCTACTTCATTAAGGATCGCCCTGTGACTTTTGTTTTAGGGGAAGAGTGATGAATTTTTAAGTCAGGCTTTCAACTTGACCTTTACAGAATTAGGTTCTGCATCTTCCCACGAGTTTTTTCATCTCTCACCCATCAGTCTCTCTCACACACCTTCAGAAGGGCTGAAGTGTTGTCTCCTATTTTCATCTTTGGGAAACATAACCACAAGACCAGAGCATGCATCCCAGCACAGCCCTTGGGCCCTGGGCAGTCACTGTGGCCTCACTAAAGCAGTGAGAACAATGAGCACTTTCAGGCCTGTCTTGGACAACGATGGATGGATGGATGCATCATGAGGTGACACTGCATCACATCTGGCTCTGCGGGCTTCCAGTCTGCCTACAATCACCAACAAACAGGGCCACTGGGAAGATTTTTCACAGCTTTCCCAAATACAGCTAGCTACAGGTAGCCCAAGGGAAAACTTTGTGCATGACCCTTTATTATACTCCTTGACATGCATTTTTCACTGGGTAAAACCCCACTCAACATTACACCACCAAGATCCCCTATTAACTACACAACAACTAAAAGGATTTGTTCCTAGTGTTGCAAAGGGCTTATCTAGAGTATTTTTCTGCTTCCCATCCCTTGTCTTTTTCCTTTTCTGCTGTCCCCAGTTTTGAGCCTGTCAAAAACCTGATTTAAGCAAAACAATGTCAGTTTGCCAAACAAGGTCCAGTCTCTATCATCTGCGTTCTGCAAAGGGGGTAGATCCTGAAAGGATGCTAAAGCGGTTTGTTTTATTCAGCAGCAGCTGTGCTGCCTACAACTGTGGCCAGATCTGCAGTCTGTGTGCCTCCCCATGCCCCGCCAACTCCCACCAGCTACAAGGGGATTTGCAGTAAAGGGGCTACAGGTACTTGCTTGCATCACCCAGGTCAGCCTAATAAACAAGCCCAAGTCATGCCAGCAGGCTGTGAGACCCAGAAAGGTAGCGTGGATCAAATATTTCCCCTATTTTGCAGGCAAAGGTATAAATTAGTTTGTGTTTGTGCATGTAATAACTGTGTCCTCACCGCTGGTTGCAGAGCTGACAGGCAAAGCAGTCCAAATGGTAAACATTATCTCTGGCCCTCATCACCATCTCAAAGGCAGGGATCAGTTTACTGCAGGCAGCACAATTCCCGGTGGTACCAAAGAGCCTGCCAAAGAAGCACAATCATTAGAAGCCATTTTAATTAAATGGTGGAAGAACTAATTAAGTGTAATTAGCAGTATCAAATACTGTATTGCACCAATAAATAGAAGTTGCAGTCTCCATTTCGCTGACCAACCAGTGTGCGGGAACTCTGGATAAAACTGCCTGGTGAGCAGGCTCCGATCCTCGAGATGAAACTTCATTTGGTTTGTGAGCCTAGGGCTAATTTGCTGTCTAATGGAGAAAAGCATTAAACACATAAAGCACTATTTTGGGGCTCACAAAATTTCAGTCAAAAACTATGTGCCTCTCTGCAGTGGTGGGGTAGGTGCTCAGAGCCACCCGTCCTCCTCCGCGAGTACCTGTCCCGTCCACGCTCAGGCACAGCCTAATGGAGGGACAGGTTGGCAGCTTCTCGCAGCGAGACACAGAAGATCTGCAAACTTTGCCAACCCTGGCAGGCAACACTATTTCAAGAGCTCAGGAAGAACCTTACTTACCTGCTGTTTAAAACGAAAAAGCACAATTTCTCTGGCAATGAGTACAACAGCATTTTGCAAAGCATCTCAGAGAGCAAGCCATCCTCCCTGACTGTGCCCCCCTCCTCCCACCTCCACATCCCTCCCTGGAGCCAGCTAAGCCCTTCCACCCTGGCCCAAACAGCATGCTCAGCCGTTCCACTTCAGCTCCCTGCTCCTCAAGGACAGCCCTTCAGCGCTGGAAGCTTTGCCATTTTCATCTTGGCTTTCACTATCTGTCTCCCCAGATGTCTGCTGCTGTTACAGCTCCCGCCGGGGGACTCAACCAAGACCGCAGCATCCTTCCCCCTGCCCCCTTCTCCAAGAAGTACCTGCAGATCCCTACGCGTGCTAGCGGCAGCACGCCACCGTGACGATAAAACCACAAGAACCAGCCAGGGCATGAATCAACAGGCTGACAAAACCAAATTTCACCCAAGACTGTGGTTAATACGCGTGCGGTTGGTTAGGAGATGATAAAAATCGTATTCTTGGGGCGATGCGCCTCAAGACATACGGTTCCTGCTGCCCATTAGCTCTGCGTTAAACGTGCCACTGCCCGCAGACAGATTGGGGCTCGCGGTTTGCTGCTTCGAGCCATTGGTTCTGGCTGATTCCACAACAGGCAGATGAGAAGCATCAGGAAAATCTATAACCAATTTCTAAACCTGCAATTTGCCGAGCTAATCAATACTAATTATTACTTGCCAGTAATTGTGAATTAAAACACCCAGCAATGTTACAGAAACCTCCACACAACTCTCCCACCCTCCCACAGCTTGCTCTTCAGCTATAAAAAAAGGCGACCCTTATTTTTCATTAGAAGTGGTATCAGTGGTCTTTCATTATGCCCGGCTGCAAAAACCCAAGACTTCCTACGAAGAAACAGTGCTACGTTTCCCCTGAAAGTTAAATAACGCAAACCAAATGGAAACACTTGTGTTGTAATGGGGCAGGACAGAAAAATCACAACAGGAGGACCAAAATTTCTTTGCCTAACAGCCATCATATCAAGGCTGAAGGGCAGAACAAAATACCAGCCATGTAGTTTGCACTGGCAAACTCAGACCAAGTGATTGGTAATGGGGCAGCCCCTTTCTCCCTGCAGGCCATCACCGGCTTGCTCCTTCTCCCACAGGCAGGCAGGCAGGGGAGGCAGCTGAGCACGCTGCTTGGCTGCCTAACGCCAGCAGACAGGACTGGAAAAATGTGGCACTGAAAGCGTACAGGTCCCCACCCTGAATCGCCCCGGCTCTCATTCAGCACCCGCTCGCAAATCAAGCCATTAATATAGACGTCCCTCCCTCCCTTCCTCCCTCCCTCCCCCAGCATAGCTGCCCCCTTCTGCAGTACCTCACTGGGGCATGGCAAAACCTGACAGCTTTTGCTGGGGTTTTGCCATTTTTCATAAAACCAGACATCCGTTTTAAGAGTACCCAAGTCACAGCAAACTCAAAAAATGAGTCCAATACGTTAGGCAGAGAAAGTGGGAGGCTAATCCTAGATTTGCTCTGTGCCCAGCACTGCTACATGCACAAGTATAAAATATCCATTATTCATTAGCATCACAGTTGTGTGGAGCTCAATCTAGATTAAACAAAATAAAGGGGCCCCAGCCAGCACCATTTGCATTGTTAAGCAGGCGCTTTTCTTCAGCCTTCAAATAGGAGACTTTTCTAAATGGAAATGATGGGGAAATTTGGACAGATGTTCACTTAACTATTTAAACAGTTAGCTTAAGAAACATGAAAAATGTATTTGGCATCGTATTCACCTGTCTCCTTTCAGGGGTTTTGGGGGTAAACCAATTGTTAAACAGCTTTGACTGCATAAGATCTGAAGCTTATGTTCTGTCCAGCTGAAATCGTGTTGCCTTCTAATGGCTACATAAACGTAGCTTCCAGCTAGTCAGAGTACTGATCTTTTCCTTTTCTATCAAGTTTCACAGTCCTCCATACCCTCCCTTTCTCAACAGATGAACATTTCACACTTATTCCAGCACTTTCTAATTTTAATCTGCTTTTCAGATTTTCTGTATATTAACCATCCTTCTAAAAATACGCTGTAACTTGTAGCTCAGTGAATGTGATTTTTTTTAAAAGAAAAAGCAAAATGAACACAGACTTTTGCCTTTTTTGTTTGCTTGTAAAGAATCTTGCCACCTCTCATACCTACTTACCCAAAAGCTACTTGAGCTGAAACTTCCTGAGGTGGGAAGCTTAATTTTATTGGAGGAGGGAGAGAAGACAAGGAGCAGGAGGAACATCTTCCACTCCAAACCCCATCTGTGGTTAAATTTAAAATAACCTCACATGAACAAACTGATCTGCATTCTGTCCCCTAGACACCGTCGTAACAGATGCAATACTCTCTTGCACATTCACGCACACAAAGTTGAAGCACAATAGAAAAATCTATCAGAAGATACTCAGCATCTACTTACCAGCCTGGAGTTACTGGCATAACAGAAGCTGGCGATGCAGAAAGGTTTCAGTTTTGTGCTGTTTTGCTGCTTCTAAAACAACCCATTTTATTTTCATCTCCCTTCGAAGTTAAAAGGCAACAATTCTTAAGTACAGATTTATTCTCCCTTATGTAACAGGAAGGCCCAGCCAGCTTGTAAATAAGCACAGACTATGCAGATTTAAAATTTAGCACAATTAAACTTCTACCCTGTGGTAGTAATTATGTTTAATGGCTCTTAGCCTGAACTTAACCGTGTCTATTGTTGTCAGCCAGTCTAAAAGTAGGAGTTTGTCCAAGGACAATTTTCTGTAGTTTATAGGCACACTAAAAACCCCGCTACGCGCTGTTCTCATTGGCTATTGATGTCAATGTGTATAGTAAAAATTAAAGCTAATTGGCATACATGAGCAGCAGTGAATGCAAATGAATTAATGGGAAAAGAAGGGAGCACTCCTGGAAGCAGGAGGCAACTGTCGAAGGACGCTTTGTGTGTAGGTTTGTCTGGGCTAAAGAACAGTCTTCTGCGTGATGATCCAGACCTCACCAGTTCTGTGAATACACCTGAAGTTAATTCAGACTATAGTACAGTCAGCTGCACCCTGCAGGTTTTTGGGAAAAAAGAATAGTAAAGGGACCTTACTGCAGGGGAAATAGTGAGAAACGTCTCGGATGAACACACTAGGCTTAACACCTTTTAACAGATTTTTCCTTCTCTGACCAAAATGTGCAGGGCAACTAAACTGAGAACCTGGTTGTCTGTTTCTGTCAGCACTAGAAACAACAGTCTGTTGTAGTCATTGCCTACAAGGAGAGAGTCCCCATCTCTTCTTCTTCTCTAGCCTGGTGTCTGACTAGCTAGCGGCTTACAGTGGAGAAAGAGGGAGAAGATCTTCCCTCCACTGAAAGAATGAGAAATTTGGAGTCATTTGCTTCACAGGAGACAAAAAAGAGAGGAACCAGGACAGGCACATATAAATAACAAGCGGTACAGAAAGGATAGTCTGGGTGTGTCAACTGGGTGTTTTTTAAACAACACAAGAAGAAGACAAGTTCAAAATTAAACAGCTGAGTAGAGACTGATAATTCCGCAAAACAAAAGGTTTTGTCAACACTGAAAGGTAAGAATTATGAGTTGAAAGAAGATTAAACACTTACCTAAATACCTGCATTTGTAGATATTGTGTACAGCTACATATTTCTCTATATATTTTTATATCCCGATTATCTGGATAAGTTTTTGAAGAGCTACCAAACCCCATACTCATACCCTCTCCAGCTAGTAGGTGAAATAGCTTTTCCCGTACACCTTTCCTATATCCCTGCTGCCATTTAACTGCATCCAGATCTGCTGTAGAACAAGACTTGCTTTACTTACCTGAAAATCATCATCATGAAAAGCAAAGGTTTCGCCCTACCATTTGAAACAAACCAACAACTGATCTTCTTGTGAAGATGGCTCTTACCAGCTTGCAATCAGTTTTTTTCCGATCTGTGTATATTAGAAATGTGCTGAGCTACAAGTCTGATTTGACTGAATTGCTAAGTATGCCCGTAATTGCAGGAAAATCCTGAACATCACTTAAAAAAGATAAAAAGAATAAGCTTATAACCAACTTTAGACCAGAGGTTCCCAACTTCCCTGTAATCAGCCGTTGTGCAATGTTCAGAGACAGCCTTAGTGATAGGCATTTCACAGAATCACAGAATATGAGGAGTTGGAAGGGACCTGGAAAGCTCATCCAGTGCAACCCCTGCCAGAGCAGGATCACCAGACTAGGTCACACAGGAACACGGCCAGGCGGGTTTTGAATGTCTGCAGAGAAGGAGACTCCACAACCTCTCTGGGCAGCCTGGGCCATGCTCTGCCACCCTCACACTGACAAAGGTTGTCCTCATCTTCAGCTTGAACCTCCTGTGCTCCAGCTTGGGACCATTGCCCCTTGTCCTGGCATTGGACATCACAGAGCAGAGCCTGGCTCCTTCCTCCTGACACTCGCCCTTTACAAATTGATCCCCATGA